ATTATGAAAATTTACAAAAATCACAAAAATCATGAAAATTGACAAAAATGAAAATTTCTAAAAATCACGAAATGCCCAAAAAATCATAGATATTTACAAAAATTATGGAAATTTTCAAAAATTACAAAAATCATGAATATTTACAAAAATCATGATAATTTCCAAAAATCATGAAAATTTCTAAAACTCACAAAATGTACATCACGAATTGTACATCATGTACATCATAGAAATTTACAAAAATCACGAAAATCATAAAAATTTACAAAAATCATGAAAATTTCTAAAAATCACAAAATGCATAAAAATTACAAAAATCATGGAAATTTCCAAAAATCATGAAAATTTTACAAATTTACAAAAATCACGAAAACCATAAAAATTTACAAAGATCACAAAAATTATGAATATGTATTTCCAAAAACCATGAAAATTTTCAAAAATCACAAAATGCACAAAAAATTATAGAAATTTACGAAAAAAAAACGAAAATCATAAAAATTTACAAAAATTATGGAAATTTTCAAAAATTATGAAAATCATGAAAATAATCACAAAAATCATGATAATTTCGAAAAACATGAAAATTGAAAAAAATCATGAATGTTTACAAAAATCATGATAATTTTCAAAAATCATAGAAGCTAATAAAAATGCGCAAAAAATCATAGATTTTACAAAAATCACAAAAATCTCAAAAATCATGAACATTTACAAAAATTATGAATGTTTACAAAAAAATCATAAAAATTATGAATATTTCCAAAAATCATGAAAAAAAAAAACACGTAGCCTACATAAATGTTATAATGATCTATAATATGAACAATAAATAATAATACATAATTATTTCTCACAAATGTTATGTAAATGTGACTTTAATTTACATAATTTCATTTATATTCCCGGGTTTTACATAACAATTACATAGAAATGTGACACAGTAAAATTTGATTTACCCGCCCATTACCCGCTCTTTAATGTTTTTATACCAGAAAATCGTAATTGTACATAAGTCTTTGGTAGTATAGTAATTTATTTCAATAAAATAAATTAATATACTATTAAATATGTAAAATTCTATTTATATAATACATAATTATGTAAAGTATAAAAAAAAAATTACCCGCGCTTCAATGGGCGGGAGCTACTAATACCAAAAAATCACTTATATACATAAGTCTTCGGTAGTATAGTGGTCAGTATCCCCGCCTGTCACGCGGGAGACCCGGGTTCGATTCCCGGCCGGAGAGAATCTTTTTTTTTATTATTTTTATTATTTATTTTTAATTAACAATAACTATTATTACTATAACATCGATTAAATCGACTATCGACTTTTAAATATCGATACATATCGATACATATCGACTATTGAAAATCGTTATAATTCGGATCGATATCAGTATCGACTTTTTTTTCAATATATCGATTCGATTATCATAATTCTCGTAATATATTATGTAATTATAATTTTCGTAATTTCCGCAATTTTTTTATTATTTTTATTATTTATTTTTAATTAACAATAACTATTATTACTATAACATCGATTAAATCGACTATCGACTTTTAAATATCGATACATATGTACTTTTAAAAATCGATATATATTCACTTTTAAATATCGATACGTATCGACTTGTAAATATCGATACATATCGATTATTGAAAATCGTTATAATTCGGATCGATATCAGTATCGACTTTTTTTTCAATATATCGATTCGATTATCATAATTCTCGTAATATATTATGTAATTATAATTTTCGTAATTTCCGCAATTTTTTAATTATTTTTATTATTTATTTTTATTTAGCAATAACTATTATTACTATAACATCGATTAAATCGACTATCGACTTTTAAATATCGATACATATCGATACATATCGACTATTGAAAATCGTTATAATTCGGATCGATATCAGTATGGACTTTTTTTTCCAACATATCGATTCGATTTTCTTTATAGATATCGCTTCAAAATTGCTGAAATAAGTATAGATTTTCATGTATCGATTTTCAATAATCGATACGTATCGATTTTCATTTTTTGATGTGTCGATTTAACAAAACGTATCGATATTACAAAATCGATATTGGATTTTTTATTCCGAGTGCCTGGAATTGACGAAGAATGTATTTTCGATATCGATTGTCGATCGGTATCGATATTTTCCGAGCGCCCAAAATCGATTAAAAATGCATGAAACTCAATATTTTCAAAAATTTACATAAATTATCGTAATTCTCGTAATTTAATTATCATTTTCGTAATTTCCGTAATTTTGTTATAATTTTCGTAATCCCCGTAACTATTTCGTAATTTCCCTAATATTTCTTTATTTTCGTAATTTCAGTAGTTTTTCTGTAATTCGTGTAATTTTCCGTAATTTTTGCAGTTTTTCGTAATTTCCATATTTTTTAATAATTCCCGTAAAGTTTTACAATTCCCGTTATTTTCGAAAATTGTCAAAAATTTACAAAAATTATCGTAATTCTCGTAATTTTGCCATAAGTTTTGTAATTCCCGTAATTTTCGTAATTCCCGGAACTTTTTATAATAATTCTTCATTTTCACAATTTCTGGACTGTTTTCGTAATTCCTGTAATTTTCCATAATTTTCGCAGTTTTTCGATACTTCCGTAATTTTTCGTAATTTCCATATTTTTTTTGTAATTGTCGTAAACTTTTGAAATTCCCGTTATTTTCAAAAATTATCGTAATTCTCGTGATTTTACTATAATTTTTGTAATTTCCATAATTATTCTATAATTTTCGTAATTCTCGTAACTATTTCGTAATTTCCGTAATATTTCTCAATTTTCGTAATTTCCTATAGTTTTTTGTAATTCCTGTAATTTTCCGTAATTTTCGCAGTTTTTCGTAATTTTTCGTAATTTCCATATTTGTTTGGTAATTATCGTAAAGTTTTACAATTCCCGTCATTTTCGAAAATTTTCAAAAATTTACATAAATTATCGTAATTCTCGTAATTTTACTATAATTTTTGTAATTTCCATAATTATTCTATAATTGTCTTAATTCCCGTAACTATTTCATAATTTCCGTAATATTTCTCAATTTTCGTAATTTCCTATAATTTTTTGTAATCCCTGTAATTTTCGCAGTTTTTCACAATTTTTGTAATTTCCGTATTTTTTTGTAACTTCCGTAGTTTTATTACAATTCCCGTCATTTTCAAAAATTCACATAAATTATCGTAATTCTCGTAATTTTACTATTATTTTCGTAATTTCCGTAATTTTTCTATAATTTTCGTAATTCCCGTAACTATTTCGTAATTTCCGTAATACTTCTTTGTTTTTGCAATTTATGTAATTCTTGTAATTTTCCGTAATTTTTCGTAATTTCCATTGTTTTTTAAATTCCTGTAAAATTTTACAATTCCCGTCATTTTCGAAAATTTTCAAAAATTTACATATTCTCGTAATTCTCGTAATTTTGATATAATTTTCGTAATTGCTCTAAAATTTTCGTAATTCCCGTAACTACTTCGTAATTTCCGTAATATTTCTTTATTTTCGTAATTTCAGTAGTTTTTTTGTAATTCCTGTAATTTTTCGTAATTTTCGCAGTTTTTCGTAATCCCCATATTTTTGTAATTCCCGTAAAATTTCACAATTCCCGTCATTTTCGAAAATTTTCATAAATTATCGTAATTTTACTATAATTTTCGTAATTTTCCATAATTTGCCAATTCCCGTAACTATTTCGTAATTTCCCTAATATTTCTTTATTTTCATAATTTCAGTAGTTTTTCTGTAGTTCCTGTAATTTTTCGTAATTTTTGCAGTTTTTCGTAATATCCATATTTCTTTATAATTTCCGTAAAGTTTTACAATTTCCGTTATTTTCGAAAATTGTCAAAAATTTACAAAAATTATCGTAATTCTCGTAATTTTACCGTAATTTTCGTAATTCCCGTAATTTTCGTAATTCCCGTAACTTTTTTGTAATTTCCATAATAATTCTTCATTTTCACAATTTCCAGACTGTTTTTGTAATTCCTGTAATTTTCCATAATTTTCACAGTTTTTCGATACCTCCGTAATTTTTCGTAATTTCCATATATTTTTTTTAATTGCCGTAAACTTTTGAAATTCCCGTTATTTTCAAAAATTATCGTAATTCTCGTGATTTTACTATAATTTTCGTAATTTCCATAATTATTCTATAATTTTCATAATTTCCGTAACTATTTCATAATTTCTCAATTTTCGTAATTTCCTATAGTTTTTTGTAATCCCTGTAATTTTCCGTAATTTTCGCAGTTTTTCACAATTTTTGTAATTTCCGTATTTTTTTTGTAATTTCCGTAGTTTTACAATTCCCGTCATTTTCGAAAATTTTCAAAAATTCACATAAATTATCGTAATTCTCGTAATTTTACTATAATTTTCGTAATTTCCGTAATTTTTCTATAATTTTCGTAATTCCCGTAACTATTTTGTAATTTCCGTAATACTTCTTTATTTTTGCAATTTATGTAATTCTTGTAATTTTCCGTAATTTTTCGTAATTTCCATTGTTTTTTAAATTCCTGTAAAATTTTACAATTCGCGTCATTTTCGAAAATTTTCAAAAATTTACATATTCTCGTAATTTTGATATAATTTTCGTAATTGCTCTAAAATTTTCGTAATTCCCGTAACTACTTCGTAATTTCCGTAATATTTCTTTATTTTCGTAATTTCAGTAGTTTTTTTGTAATTCCTGTAATTTTCCGTAATTTTCGCAGTTTTTCGTGATTTCCGTATTTTTTTGTAATTCCCGTAAAGTTTTACAATTCCCGTTATTTTCGAAAATTCACAAAAATTTACATAAATTATCGTAATTCTCGTAATTTTACTATAATTTTCGTAATTTTTCTATCATTTTCTTAATTCCCGTAACTTTTTCATTTCGCATGTCAAATAAATGACAATGACAAAGGGAATTTTGACAAGAGGTGACAAATAAAAAAACTTCAAAAAAATATCGATACTTATATTTTTTTCGATACAAATTTAAAAATCGATACAATGTTCCCATCTCTACATAAATGACGTTGTACAAAATCAATACATAAAAATTACAAGTTTTTTTTCAATCCGATTCAACTTCGCCATTAACGAGCACGACGTCGGACGATTCCGAATCGGACGAATCGGCGCCATTTTCCATCGGTTCGGAATCGTTTTCGTCCGCCTCCTCCCACTCTTCGGGCTCGTTGTCCGACAGAATTTCGATTTGCATCTCGTCGTCATCCGAATCTGAATCACTACTGTCTGAAATATAGGAAAAAATAATAATTTTTTGAGTGCAAATTTAGTGCAAAGTCAGTGCAAACTAGTGCAAAGTCAGTGCAAACTAGTGCAAAGTCAATAAAACTAGTGCAAAGTTAGTGCAAAGTCAATAAAACTTGTGCAAAGTCAGTGCAAACTAATGCAAAATCAATGAAACTAGTGCAAAGTTAGTGCAAAGTAGTGCAAAGTCAGTGCAAACTAGTGCAAAGTCAATAAAACTACTGCAAAGTCAGTGCAAATTTGTGCAAAGTCAGTGCAAACTAGTGCAAAGTTAATAAAACTAGTGCAAAGTCAGTGCAAACTAGTGCAAAGTGAGTGCAAACTAATGTAAACTCAATAAAACTAGTGCAAAGTCAATGCAAACTAGTGCAAAGTCAGTGCAAAGTCAATAAAACTAGTGCAAAGTTAGTGCAAAGTCAATAAAACTTGTGCAAAGTTAGTGCAAACTTGTGCAAACTAATGCAAAGTCAGTGCAAACTAATGCAAAGTCAATGAAACTAGTGCAAAGTTAGTGCAAAGTAGTGCAAAGTCAGTGCAAACTAGTGCAAAGTCAATAAAACTACTGCAAAGTCAGTGCAAATTTGTGCAAAGTCAGTGCAAACTAGTGCAAAGTCAGTGCAAACTAGTGCAAAGTCAGTGCAAACTAGTGCAAAGTCAGTGCAAACTCAATAAAACTAGTGCAAAGTCCATAAAACTAGTGCAAAGTCAGTGCAAACTAGTGCAAAGTCAGTGCAAAATTGGTGCAAACTCACCTTTATCGTCGAAAACCAGCAAAGCTTCGTCGTCGTCGCCCTTTCGGGCGTCGTCGGTCGTGATCACTTGAGGCACGAGCAGCTCGAGTTTGCCTCTCAATCGGCTCAAGGCGGTTTGGGTGTTGATTCGGCTGTAGATGCTGTTCAAGGCGCCCGAAAACAGTTCGGCCAAGTTCGGGTTCGATATCAAAACGCCGGCGTGGACTTGGGCCAAGTGTTTCAGCCACAAGGCGCCGAAATGACTTCTGAAATTTCAGATTTTTTTTTTTGTGATTTTTGTAAAATTTTGTGATTTTTGTGAATTTTCATAATGTTCATGATTTTCGTAAATTTTTATGATTTTTGTGAATTTTTATGATTTTTGTAAGTTTTCATGATTTTTGGAAATTTTTATGATTTTTGTAAATTTTCATGATTTTCGTAAGTTTTTATAATTTTTGTAAATTTTCATGATTCTTGTAAATTTTCATGATTTCTGTAAGTTTTCATGATTTTTGTAAATTTTCATGATTTTTGAAAACTTTTATGATTTTTGTAAATTTTCATGATTTTTGGAAATTTTTATGAATTTTTTCAAAGTTTTCATGATTTTTGGAAATTTTTATGATTTTTGTAAATTTTCATGATTTTTGAAAATTTTTATGATTTTTGTGATTTCCGTAAATTTTTATGAATTTTGTAAATTTTCATGATTTTTGTAAATTTTCATGATTTTTGTAGATTTTCATGATTTTTGTAAATTTTTATGATTTTTGTAAATTTTCATGATTTTTGTAAATTTTTATGATTTTTGTAAATTTTCATAATTTTTGGAAATTTTTATGAATTTTGTAAGTTTTCATGTTTTTTTGGAAATTTTCATGATTTTTGTAACTTTTCATATTTTTTGGAAATTTTCATGATTTTTGAAAATTTTTAAGTTTTTTGTGATTTTCGTGAATTTTTGTGATTTCTGTAAATTTTCATGATTTTTGTAAATTTTTTATGATTTTTGTAAATTTTTATGATTTTTGTAAATTGTAAAATTTCATTAAATAAAAAAAATTTACAAAAAACATAAAAATTCACGAAAAACACAAAAATCAAGAAAATTTACAAAAATCATAAAAATTTACAAAAATTCACAAGAATCATGAAAATTTCCAAAAATCATGAAAATTTACAAAAATCATAAAAATTCACGAAAATCATAAAAATTATGAAAATTTACAAAAATCATAAAAATTTACAAAAATTATAAAAATTCACAAAAATCATGAAAATTTCCAAAAATCATAAAAAATTCACAAAAATTTGCAAAAATCATAAAAATTCACAAAAATCCTGAAAATTTACAAAAATCATAAAATTTTACGAAAATCACAAAAATCATAAAAATTTTCAAAAATCATGAAAATTCACAAAAATCATGAAAATTCGAAAAATCACAAAAATTCACGAAAATTCACAATAACATAATCATACTCACAAAATAGTCTTCCCGTGCACCAAACCGGACAATTCCCAAATCAGCGCCTCGAAAACCGTGACCGGCAACCGTTTCACCGTATTCCTGATCACCGTTTCGTCTTTCCGGCACAGGGCCGTCCTCAGGATATTTTTATCTTTGCTGTGCAAACCCTGCATCAGCAAACGGGCCACGTTGTCAACTTTCGGCACTTTTCCCGCTTCGGTTTTACTCAATGTCAAATTTTCAAGCCTGAAAAAAATTTATGAAATTTAGGAAATTTATGAAATTTATGAAATTTATGAAATTCATGAAATTTATGAAATTTAGGAAATTTTGAATTTTATGCAATTATGAAATTTTTGAAAATTATGAAATTTATGAGATTTATGAAATTATGAAAGTAATGAAATTTATGAAATTTTTGAAATCTAGGAAATTTATGAAATTTATGAAATTGATGAAATTTATGAAATTCATGAAATTTATGAAATTTATGAAATTTATGAAATTTAGGAAATTTATGAAATTTATGAAATTCATGAAATTTATGAAATTTAGGAAATTTTTGAATTTTATGAAATTATGAAATTTTTGAAAATTATGAAATTTATGAGATTTATGAAATTATGAAAGTAATGAAATTTATGAAATTTTTGAAATCTAGGAAATTTATGAAATTTATGAAATTGATGAAATTTATGAAATTCATGAAATTTATGAAATTTATGAAATTAATGAAATTTATGAAATTCATGAAATTTATGAAATTTATGAAATTTATGAAATTTATGAAATTTATGAAATTTATGGAATCTTATTATGAAATTTATGAGTTTTATGAAATTATGAAAATTTTTGAAATCTAGGAAATTTATGAAATTTTTGTGCAAAAACATAGAAAAAACTAACCTTTGTTCCATAGGAATTTCCTCTTGAATTCCAGTTTTCCTTTTACTGGGCAACGCCTCCGAGGAATAATGAACATCATCTCCGATTACAGGTTTCTTCAATTTGGTCACTTGTGAATCTTTAATTTGTTTGGACGCCAATGGATCAATTCGGACCAAAACTTGTGATTTTTTGGAAGTTAAAACGACATTTTCGAAAGTCAAAATCGGATCGGCGCCGTGCGCCACTGACAAAGTGTCCGAATCGACGAATCGGGCCGAAAAGATTCGGATCGGTTTGACGGGGTCGTTGGATTGGCCCGCCGACACTACTTGCACAGTGGTTTTCGGTTTGACTGGTTTGTCGCATTTGCTGGAAAAAATTAATATTTTTTGAGTTTGAGGCTTTGTGGCTGCATAACTATTGAAGATACGTCAAAATGACCTCAGTAGTGATTTGTAGAGGATTTCATTGGCTTTATTTTGCGCCTAATTACGTTGAAATCGGATGAAAATTAACGGAGTTATGAGGCAAAACGTGTAGAGATGTCATTTTGGGAGGATAAGGCAAAATCAGCACAGCTACTGCAAAGTCGGTATAACTTGTGCAAAGTCAATACATCTAACGCAATGTGTGTGCAAAGTTGATATAACTAGTGCAAAAGTCAGTATAACTAGTGCAAAGTCAACATAACTACTGTAAAGTCAGTGTAAAGTATAAAATAACTAATGCAAAGTCAGTGCAAAGTGATTATAACTAGTGCAAAGTCAATGCAAAATCAGAATAACTAGTGCAAAGTCAGTATAACTAGTGCAAAGTCAATATCACTACTGTAAAGTCAGTGTAAAGTAAAAAATAACTAATGCAGATTCGGTATACCTTGTGCAAAGTCAATGCAAACTCAGTATAACAAGTGCAAAATTAGTACAAACTTAGTAGAAGTAGTGCAAAGTCGGTGTAAAGTCATTTTAAAGTCAGTATAATCAGTGCAAAGCCAATATAACTACTGCAAACTCAGTGCAAAGTTAGTACAAAATTATTATAACTTGTGCAAAGCCAGTGCAAAGTAAATATAACTAACGCAAAGTCAGTGCAAACTAATTATAACTAGTGCAAAGTCAATGCAAACTCAGTATAACAAGTGCAAAGTCAGTGCAAACTCAGTAGAAGTAGTGCAAAGTCGGTGTAAAGTTAGTATAACTATTGCAAAGTCAACATAACTACTGTAAAGTCAGTGTAAAGTAAAAAATAATTAATGCAATTTCGATATACCTTGTGCAAAGCCAGTGCAAAGTCAATATAACTAACGCAAAGTGTGTACAAAGTTATTATAATTAGTGTAAAGTCAGTGCAAACTGATTATAACTAGTGCAAAGTCAGTACAAAGTGATTATAACTTGTGCAAAGTCAATGCAAAATCAGTAGAACGAGTGCAAAATCAATATAACAACTGTAAAGTCAGTGCGAAGTAAAAAAAACTGATGCAAATGCGGTATACCTTGTGCAAAGTCAGTGCAAAGTCAATGTAATTAACGCAAAGTCAGTGCAAAATGATTATAACTAGTGCAAAGTCAATGCTAACTCAGTATTACAAGTGCAAAGGCAGTGCAAAACTGCAAACTCAGTAGAAGTAGTACAAAGTCAGTGTAAAGTCATTTTAAAGTCAGTAAAATTAGTGCAAAGTCAATATAACTACTGCAAACTCAGTGCAAAGTTAGTACAAAATTATTATAGCTAGTGCAAAGTCAGTGCAAAATTAGTATAACTAGTGCAACCTTAATGCAAAGTCAGTATAACTGAAGCAAAATCAATATAACTACTGTCAAGTCAGTGCGAAGTAAAAAATAACTAATGCAAATTAGGTATACCTTGTGCAAAGCCAGTGCAGAGTCAATATTACTACTGCAAAGTCAATGCAAAGTGAATATAGCTAACGCAAAGTCAGTGCAAAATAAATATAACCAGTGCAAAGTCAATGCAAACTTAATATAACAAGTGCAAAGTCAGTGCAAACTCAGTAGAAGTAGTGCAAAGTCGGTGTAAGTTATTTTAAAGTCAGTATAATTAGTGCAAAGTCAATATAACTACTGCAAACTCAGTGAAAAGTTAGTACAAAATTATTATAACTAGTGCAAAGTCAGTGCAAACTGGTGCAAAGTCAATAACACTAGTGCAAAGTCAGCGCAAACTAGTGCAAAGTCAATAAAACTAGTGCAAATTCAGTGAAAACTAGTGCCAAGTCAATGCAAACTGGTGCAAAGTTTGTACAAACTAGTGCAAAGTCAATAAAACTAGTGCAAAGTTGATGCAACCTAGTGCAAATACAGTAAAAATAATGCAAAGTCAGTGCAAACTAGTGCAAAATCAGTATATTTAGTGCAAAAATTCCAAAAACCACTCACCTGTCAAAATTGTGTCGGTAAACGTGAACGGCGCCGCTTTTGTTGACGGCCGCGATACCAATGTCGCCATCTGGCGACAAATTGACGGCGACATTTTCGACGACATCTTCCATCAAAAAATTGCAGATGGCGCTTTTCCGTTTGACGTCAGCCGTCAAATTCCAGCAGCTCAAAAGTCGATCGGCCTGAAAAACGTTTTTTGTGCAATTTTTGACAGCTGTCAAACGTCAATTAGCTTGTCAAAAAAATTTGACACTACTTGACAGTTAAATATGATTTTTTGTAAGAGAAGCTGTCAAAGTTTAATTTGACAGTTGCATATTGTAAAAAAATTACACCTGTCAAATGTCATTATTTTGACAGTTAAATACGTTTTAATTAAAGTTTTTGTAACATAAAAATCTTAAGTTTCTGTATCAACTGTTAAAATTTAATTTGACAGTTGAAAATCGTAAAAAAAATTAACACCTGTCAAATGTCGTAATTTTGACATTTGATTTAGATTTTTTTCATTTTTGTAATAGAAAAATCGTAACTTCTATATCAGCTGTCAAAATTAAATTTGACAATTGAAGATTGTTAAAAAAATTGATACTTTTCAAATGTCATTATTTTGACATTTGAATTAGATTTTTTTAATTTTCGTAACAGAAAAATCCTAACTTCTGTTTCAGCTGTCAAAATTTAATTTGACATTTGAGGATTGTAAAGAAAATTGATACTTGTCAAATGTCATTATTTTGACATTTGAATTAGATTTTTTTTCATTTTTGTAACAGAAAAATCTCTACTTCGGTATCAGCTGTCAAAATTTAATTTGACAGGTACAGATTGTTAAACAAAATTACACTTGTCAAATGTTATTATTTTGACATTTGAAATAGATTTTTTTCATTTTTGTGACAGAAAACTCTCTATTTGTGTATCAGATGTCAAAATTTAATTTGACAGGTAAAGATTGTTAAACAAAATTTCACTTGTCAAATGTTATTATTTTGACATTTGAATTAGATTTTTTTTCATTTTTGTAACATAGAAATCTCTATTTCGGTATCAGCTGTCAAAATTTAATTTGACAGGTACAGATTGTTAAACAAAATTACACTTGTCAAATGTTATTATTTTGACATTTGAATTAGATTTTTTTCATTTTTGTGACAGAAAAATCTTTACTTGTGTATCAGATGTCAAAATTTAATTTGACAGGTAAAGATTGTTAAACAAAATTACACTTGTCAAATGTTATTATCTTGACATTTGAATAAGATTTTTTTCATTTTTATAATAGAAAAATCGTAACTTCTTTGTCAGCTGTCAAAATTTAATTTGACAGTTGAAGATTGTAAAAAAAAATTGATACTTGTCAAAGGTCATTATTTTGACATTTGAATTAGATTTTTTTCATTTTTGTAATAGAAAAATCGTAACTTCTGTGTCGCCTGTCAAAATTTAATTTGACAGTTGAAAGTTTTGAAAAAAAATTGGAGAGTTAAATATCATTCAATGTCCATTTGAATTGGAGTTTTTGTAACAGAAAAACGTCTACTTCTGTATCAGCTGTCAAAATTCAATTGACAGTTGAAGATTGTAGAAAAAATTGACACCTGTCAAATATTATTTTGACAGTAGAATACGATCTAATTCGAATTTTTGTAACAAAGAAATCGTAGCTTCTGTTTCAAATGTCAAAGTTTAATTTGACAGTTAAAGATTGAGAAAAAAATGATACCTGTCAAATGTTATTAAATTGACAGTTAAGTATCATTTAATGTCCAATTAAATTTAAAAAAATTTAATAGAAAAATCGTAACTTTTCTATCAGCTGTCAAAATTTAGTTTCGCAATAAAATGGTGAAATAAATTGACACCTGTTAAATGTCACTATTTTGACAGGTAAATGTCGATTTAATAAAATTGAAATTTTTGTATAACTTCTGTATCAGTTGTCAAAATTCAACTTGACAGTTGAAGATTGTGAAAATAATTGACACCTGTCAAATGTCAATATTTTAACTTGACAGTTATATCGAAAATCACAAAAATTTATGAAATTTATAAAAATTTATGAAAATCATAAAAATGTATGTACGAAAATCAATGAAATCATAGAAATTCACAAAAATCATGAAAATTTACAATAATCATGAGAATTCACAAAAATTATAAAAATTCACAAAACTCATGAAAATTCACAAAAATCATAAAAATTCACAAAAATCATAAATATTCACAGAAATCATAAAAAATTCACAAAAATCATGAAAATTAACAAAAATTATAAAAATTCACAAAAATTATAAAAATTTACAAAAATGATGAAAATTTACAAAAATCATGAAAATTCACAAAAATTATGAAAATTCACAAAAATCATGAAAATTCACAAAAATTATGAAAATTCAGAGAAATCATAAAAATTCACAAAAATCATGAAAATTCACAAAAATTATGAAAAATCACAAAAACCATAAAAATTCACAAAAATTATGAAAATCCACAAAAATTATGAAAAATTCACAAAAAATATGAAAATTCACAAAAATCATAAAAATTTAAAAAAGTTATGAAAATTCACAGAAATCATAAAAATTCACAAAAATCATGAAAATTCACAAAAATTATGAAAATTCACAAAAATTATAAAAATTCACAAAAACTATAAAAATTCACAAAAACCATAAAAATTCACAAAAAAGATAAAAATCCACAAAAATGATTAAAATTCACAAAAATGATGAAAATTTACAAAAATCACGAAAATTCACAAAAATTATGAAAATTCACAGAAATAAAAATTCACAAAAATCACAAAAAATCAAAAAAAAAAAATTATACCAATTACCTTCGATCCAGTTAACAAAAAAGTATCGGAATCTGGAAGACATACATACAACGTCGTAACGACGTCGGAACTGTGACCGGTAAACGTTTTAAGGAGCTCTTTACGACCCAAATCCCACAATTTTATGTTTTTCGAGGCCGTCACTAAACGCTCCAAATCCGGCAGGGCCAAAATTGCCGTCACAATTTCGTTGCCAGCCTTCCATTGACTAAACAAAAAAAAAAAATTCAAAAATTTTTCCCGAAAAAAATTTTCAAATTAAAAATTTTTCTCAAAAAATTCAAAAATTTTTCTGAAAAAAAAACTATTCAAAAATTTTTCTCAAAAAAACAAAAGAAAAAAATTTAAGAAAAAAATAAAAAAATTCAAAAAATTCAAATTTTTTTTAAAAATTCAAAAATTTTTCTCAAAAAATTCAAAAATTTTCCTCAAAAAAACAAAAAAAAAAAATTTTTTTAAAATAAAAATAAAAATTCAAAAATTTTTCTCAAAAAATTCAAAAATTTTTCTCAAAAAATTCAAAAATTTTTCTCAAAAAAAATTCAAAAACTTTTCTCAAAAAAAAATTCAAAAATTTTTCTCAAAAATAAAAATTCAAAATCTTTTCTCAAAAAATTCAAAAATTTTTCTCAAAAAAAAAAAAAAAAATCTCAGAAAAAAAAAAATCAAAAATTCAACTCACCTTTTCAGCTCCTTTTTGTGCAAATTCCATTCTAGAATGTTCTGATCGGCTCCGGAGTACGCCGAACCAGTGGCGTTCGAAGTCAGGCAATTTATTTTCGATCCGGTTTTACTATTGATTGTGAAATCGATACTCGCTTTGCTGATCGAATAAACTTGAATAAGACCGGAGGTGGTGCCCAATAGAATGTCGGGCGACTGGTTGTCGCCCGATTTGCGTTTTTTCCTTTTGGGCGACGGCGAGGTCTGGAATTTAAGAAAAATCAACTTTTTAGCTTTGTAGCTGAGAAACTATTGAAGATACGTCAAAATGACCTCAGTAGTGATTTGTAGAGGATTTTATTGGTTTCGTTCTGAGACTAATTTCGTTGAAATCGGATTAAAATTAACGAAGTTATGGGGCAAAATGTGTGTCAATGTCGTCTTTGGGAAATGTTTGAAAATGCTTTGGAACAATCTAATTTTTTTCCAACATGTTTTCAATCTGTTCCAACGGGTTTTGAGAATTTTTAACAACATTCGAAAATGTTTTGGAACTCTCTAGAACGTTCCAAAAACTTTTGGAACATTCCAATTTCTTTTTAACATGTTTTCAATCTGTTTCAACGAGTTTTAAGAATTTTGAATATTATTCGAAAATTTTTTGGAACTTTCTAGAACGTTCCAGAATTTTTTGAAACAATCTAATTTTTTTCCAACATGTTTTCAATCTGTTCCAACGAGTTTTGAGAATTTTTAGGAACATTCTAGAATATATAAGAATTTTTTTGAAACGTTCCAGATTTTTTTTGAAACAATCCAAATTTTTTCCAATGGGTTCTCAATCTGTTCCAATCAGTTTCAAGAATTTTTAACAACATTTGAGAATTTGTTGGAACTTTCTAAAACGTTTCAAAATTTTTTGGAACAATCTATTTTTGTTCCAATATGTTTTAAATCTATTCCAACAAATTCTGAGAATTTTTAGGAACATTCTAGAATATTTTAGAATTTTTTTGGAACGTTCCAGAATTATTTGAAACAATTTCAATTTGTCCCAATGAGTTTTCAATCTGTTCCAATGACTTTTAAGAATTTTTAACATTCGAGAATTTTTTGGAACTTTCTAGAACGTTCTAAAATTTTTTGGAACAATCTATGTATTTTTTTTTCCAACATGTTTTCAATTCAATCTGTTCCAACGAATTCTGAGAATTTTAAGGAACATTAGAATTTTTTTGATACGTTCCAGAATTTTTTGAAACAATTCAAATTTTTCCAATGAGTTTTCAATCTGTTCCAACAACTCTCAAGAATTTTCAAAAACATTTTTTGGAACTTTCTAGAACGTTCCAAAATCTTTTGGAACAATCTAATTTTTTTCCAACAAGTTTTCAATCTGTTCCGAGTTCTGAGCATTAGACATTAGAATTTTTTTGGAACGTTCCAGAATTTTCTGAAACAATTCAAATTTTTTCCAATGAGTTTTCAATCTACTCCAACGACTTTTAAGAATTCTTAACAACATTCGAGGATTTTTTGGAATTTTCTAGAACGTTCAAAATTTTTTTGGAACAATCTAATTTTTTTCCAACATGTTTTCAATCTGTTCCAACAAGTTCTGAGAATTTTTAGGAACATTCCAGAAAATATTAGAATTTTTTCGGAATGTTCTAGAACGTTCGAGAATTTTTTGAAACAATCTAAATTTTTTTTCAATGAGTTTTCAATCTGTTCCAACGACTTTTAAGAATTTTTTGGAACTTTCTAGAACGTTCCAAAATTTTTTGGAACAATCTAATTTTATTCCAACATGCTTTCAATCTGTTCCAACGAGTTCTGAGAATTTTTAGGAACATTCTAGAATATATTAGAATTTTTTTGGAACGTTCCAGAATTTTCTGACATAATTCAAATTTTTTCCAATGAGTTTTCAATCTGTTCCAACGACTTTTAAGAATTTTTAACAACATTCGAGAATTTTTTGGAACTTTCTAGAACGTACAGATGCTGACTGACCTACAGATTTTGTTTGTGATTTTTGCGATAAAGAGCAAAATTTATATTACTCGATAATAAATGTTAACATTTCGTTATCTTTTTTCAGTTTACTTTCATTTCCCCAAAAAAATAGTTTTTGTTTCTGCATAACAATCTGTTCCAACGAGTTCAGAGAATTTTAGTCTAGTAAATTTTAGAGTATTCCAAAAAATTCCAAAAAGTTCTGGAACATTCTAAAGTGTTCTAATACGTTTTAGAATGTTCCTAAAAATTCTGAAATGTAAGTTGAAGTAGCTTCCAATTATTTCTAGAGTGTTCCAAAAAAATCTGGAACGCTCGAAGATGTTCCAAAAAGATTTCGCAAAAAATTAAAATTTTTTCTAGAATTTCCGAAATTCGTAAATTTTCCTAGAAAATCACGAGTTTTAAATCTAGTAACTTCCACAGTGTTCCAAAAAATTCCAGAAAGTTCTGGAACACTCTTAAGTGTTCTAATATGTTTTAGAATGTTCCTAAAAATTTTAAAATGTAAATTTAATTAACTTCCAATTACTTCTAGAGTGTTCCAAAAAATTTCTGGAACGTTTTAGAATGTTCCAAACATATTTTGTAGAAAATTCGAAATTTTTCTAGAATTTTCGGGAATCATAAATCTCACTAGAAAATCACGAATTTTAAATCTAGTAATTTCCAGAGTGTTCCAAAAAATTCCAAAAAGTTCTGGAACATTCTAAAGTGTTTTAATATGTTTTAGAATGTTCTAGAACGTTCTAAAAAAAATATAATATATTTTAGATTGTTCCTAAAAATTCTCAGAGCTCGTTGGAACAGATTAAAAACATGTTCGAAAAAAACTAGATTGTTCCAAAAAATTTTGAAACATAGAAATTTTCAAAAATTTTTCGAATGTTTTTAAAAAAAATTTAAAGTCATTGGAAGAGATTGAAAACTCATTGGAAAAAGTTTGGATTGCTTCAAAAAATTCTGGAACGTTCTAGAACGTTTCAAAAAAACTCTAATATATTCTAGAATGTTTTTATAAATTTTCAGAATTCATTGGAACAGATTGAAAACATGTTGGAAAAAAAATAGATTGTTCCAAAAGATTTTGGAACGTTCTAGAAAGGTTCAAAAAATTCTCCAATGTTAAAAATTCTTTAAAGTCGTTGGAACAGATTGAAAACTCATTGGAAAAAATTTGGATTGTTTTAAAAAATTCTGAAACGCTCCAAAAAAAACTCTAAAATATTCTAGAATGTTCGTAAAAATTCTCAGAACTTGTTGGAACAGATTGAAAACATGTTGGAAAAAAATTAGATTGTTCCAAAAATTTTTGGAACTATTCAGAATGTTTCAAAAAAAAAATTTAAACTCGAAATTAGATTATTCGGAATGTTGCAGAAAGTTCAAAAATGTTCTGGAACATTTCAGAATGTTCCAAAAAATTCTAGAATATTGTTAAAAATTCCAAAGAGTCGTTGAAACAGATTGAAAACTCATTGGATAATATTTAGATTGTTTTGAAAAATTCTGGAAAGTTCTAGAATGTTCCAAAAAAATTGTAACATATTCCAGAATGTTCTTAAAAATTTTCAGAATTCGTAGGAACAGATTGAAAACATGTTGAAAAAAAATTAAATTGTTCCAAAAAATTTTGGAACGTTTTAGAAAGTTCCAAAAAATTCTTAAATATTGTTAAAAATTCCTAAAACTCGTTGGAACAGATTGAAAATCCATTGGAAAAAATTTGGATTGTTTCAAAAAATTCAATTCTAATATATTCTAGAATGTTCTAAAAAAATTTCAGAACTCGTTGGAACAGATTGAAAACCTGTTGTACTCATTGAAAAAAAATTTGGATTGTTTGAAAAAATTCTGGAACGTTCCAATAAAATTCTAACATATTTTAGAATGTTCCTAAAAATTCTCAGAACTTGCTGGAACATATTGAAAACATGTTAGATTGTTCCAAAAAAATTTAGAACGTAAAAGAATGTTCCAAAAAATTTTAGAATGTTGTTAAAAATTTCGTTGGAACAGATGGAAAATTCATTGGAAAAAATTTGGATCCTTCTAAATAATTTTAAAACGTTCTAGAATGTTCCAAAAAATTTAGACTGTTGTTAAAAATTCTCAAAAGTTGTTGGAATAGATTAGAAACTCATTGGAAAAACGTTCTAGAAAGTTCCAAAATATTTTAGAATGTTGTTGAGAATTCTTAAAAGTCGTTGGAACAGATTAAAAATTCATTGGAAAAAATTTGAATTGTTTCAAAAAATGCTGGAACGTTTTAGAACGTTCCAAAAAAAAATTCTAATATATCCTAGAATGCTCCTAAAAATTTTAAAAACTCGTTGGAACAGATTGAAAACAAGTTGGAAAAAATTAGATTGTTCCAAAAAATTTTGGAACGTTCCAGAATGTTCCAAAAAATTATCGAATAATGTTAAAAAAACTTAAAACTCGTTGGAACAGATTGAAAACTTATTGGAAAAATTTGGATTGTTTCAAAAATTCTGGAACGTTTTAGAACGTTTCAAAAAAATTCTAATATATTCTAGAATGTTCTTAAAAATTTTCAGAACTCGTTGGAACAGATTGAAAACATATCGTAACAAAATTAGATTGTTCCAAGAAAATTTGGAATGTTGTAGAAAGTTTCAAAAAAAATTTCGAATGTTAAAAATTTTTAAAAGTCGTTGGAACGAATTGAAAACTCATTGGAAAAAAAATTGGATTGTTTCAAAAAATTCTGGCACGTTCAAAAAAAATTCTAACATTTTAGAATGTTCCTAAAAATTCTCAAAACTTACTGGAACAGATTGAAAATATGTTGGGAAAAAATTAAATTGTTCCAAAAAAATTTAGAACGTAAAAGAATGTTAAAAATTTCGTTGGAACACAAATTGAAAATTCATTGGAAAAAATTTGGATTCTTCCAAATAATTTTAAAAGTTGTTGGAACAGATTGGAAACTCATTGGAAAAAATTTGGATTGTTTCAAAAAATTCTGGAACGTTCTAGAACCTTCCAAAAAAATTCTAATATATTTTAGAATGTTCCTAAAAATTCTCAAAACTCATTAGAACAGATTGAAAACATGTTGGAAAAAAATTGGATTGTTTCAAAAAATTTTGGAACGTTGTGAAAGTTCCAAAAAATTCTACAATGTTGTTAAAAATTCCTATAGGTCGTTGAAAAATATAGAAAACATATTGGAAAAAATTTGAATTGTTTGAAAAAGTTTTGGAACGTTCTAGGACGTT